TTGTGCCATACAGTTATTATATATACAGTATATGTATGTATGTATATGTATCCAAATACCTTGTGCCATACAGTTATTATATATACAGTTGTTGCACTGATTAAAACAATTTATTTAACCGAGTCTTAGGATTATTCTGAAGATTTTAATAAAGTAAGGTAATCACCAACCAAAGAGTATACAGGGCAGGGGGACCTATGACTCCAGCTGGATTATGTAGCAGAGGATGGCCTTATCTGTCATCACTGGGAGGGGAGCCCCTTGGAGGTTTGATGACCCAGGATAGGGGAACACTAGGGTGCTGAGGCAGGAGTGAATGGGTGGTGGGGGAGCATTCTCATAGAGACAGGGGAAGAGAGGAGAGGATAGGGGGCTTGTGGAGGGGAAACTGGAGAGGGGGGATAACTTTTAAAATGTAAATAAATAAAATAACCAATAAAAAATGAAAACAAATAAGCAAGGTAATTACTCTGAATCTGAGGGGGTGACCAGTGATTGATGCCACTCACCAAGTAGAAGCCACCACAAGACACGAAGAGACACTTTTGATCTAGATTCGGGAAGACCCAGAGAACCAGCTGTCCAACTTTGTGGATCTGAACCCAGACTCCTACACCTTACAGAACTTTTTCTACCTCATTCCATGGAGGTCATGGAATGACCTCAAGTGTATGTGTCTTAACAAATTCCCAATGGACCCAGAGTTAAGAAGGGCATGTAGCCAATCTCTCTCTCTTGTGTATTCTCCTCTTTTAGAATGTGGAAATATCTTCACTAGATAATATAAGATTAATTAAAAATTACCAAATACATAGAAAGTCTCTCATAACTACACCTTAAAACAACTATTGTCAACATTAGGGTGCCTATTTTCTGTGCTTAATTATATATCAAAGCAACTATTGATATAGATAAGTGAGAACATAAATTATATATTACTTTGTACCTGATTTTTTCTTCATTTAACGTTTAGCTGAGTAGGGCTGCATGATGGCTTCCCTCCCTCAGCAGCATGCATGGTATTTCCTAGTACCATTTCTAGACCGCAGGAAGGGAACTTTTCAAGTCAGATCCAGCTCTAGCCATCTGAATCCTGTGTCCTAAGCATGCTGTGCCTTCAGCAACAGATGCCCACCCCCAACTCCTGAGAAGCAACCAAGGTTCTACATTGATAGTCTATATTGACCAAGGGGCTACACTGACAGTCTATATTGTTTTTTGAGCCACTTGACCAACTATTCAAGAAGAGGTTTCTGGTACTGGAAGTTTTTCAGTCTATGGTTCTTGTTGGGGAGCATTGTCAGCCTAAGTGGTTTAACTTCTGTGTGTATTCCTGTGTACACAACACACACACACACACACACAGAGAGAGAGAGAGAGAGAGAGAGAGAGAGAGAGAGAGAACACTTAGAGTTTTGGGTAAATATAAAAATAATGATTCCTTGAGGCTTTATCAAACAGTGGTGACATTATTTGTCCCTTGTCTTGCCTTCTCTGTATTGAATGACTACTTTTCTCTGTAGTTGAAGCTCCTCTCACTTTCCATTCCTCATTTTATATCACCTGTATATTGCTATTCCCCACCTAACCCTAACCCTTGCTGCCACCTGCCTCCAGTATACTATCTTGGTTCCCATGGTTACTTCACATTGTATACTTACATCTGAGGATCTGGAGCTGGGAACCACAGATGAGAGAGTGCATTCTACACTTGTCTTTCTAGGTCTGGGATACCTCATTCAATATGATCTATTCTAGGTCCATCCAATTACCTGTAAATTTCAGGATTTAACTTTTCTTTATAGCTGAATATTATTCCATTGAGTATATATATATATGATGTTTTCATTGTTCATTCACCTATTGAAGGACATCTAGGTTGTTTCCATGTCTAGTTCTTGTGAACAGAATTGGCAGTGAACAGTGTTGAGCAAGTATCTGTGAAGTAGGATGTAGAGTCCTTTGGGCATAAGCCAAGGAATGGTACAATTGTGTTATTTTTACATTTTATATTTTTTGAAAATCTCCATACAGATTTCCAGAGTGGCAACACCAATTTGAATTTCTACCAACAGTGAATCAAAGTTCCTATATTTCTACAACTTTGCCAGCAAAACAACCAATTGTTTTGTTGATCTAGCCATTCTGGTTTTGCTTCTTTGTTTGTTCAGTTGGTTGGGATTTTGTGTTTGTTGTTGTTGCTTTGAGATAGGATTTCTTTCATAGTCCTAGCTGTCCTGGGGCTCGCTCTGTAGACCAGGCTGGCCTTGAACTCACAGAGATCTGTTGGCTTCTACCTCTTGAGTGCTGGGATTAAAGGTATGCACTACCATCATGTAGCTCAATCCTAGCCATTCTGAATGGGGTGAAATGAAGCCTCAAAGTTGTTTTAATTTGAATTCTCCTGATTGCTAAAGATGCTTAATACTTACTGAGGTATTTCTTAGCCATTTTTATTTCTTCTATTGAGAACTCTGTTTAGATCTCTAGCACATATTCTAAAATTGGGTCATCTGTTTTCCTGGCTGTTTTCTGAGTTCTTGGTATATTATGGATATTAATCGCCTGTCAGATGTGTGGCTGACATGTTTTTGCCTGCTCTGGGGATTGCTTCTTCAATGACTGGTTGCTTCTTTAGCTGTACAGAAGCTTTTTAGTTTTGTGAGGTCCCAGTTGTCAATCACTGGCCTTAATTCCTGGGCAAAAGGACATATTTGCTCTGTATATAACTTTGAATACTCAAAACATCTTTGATGGCTTGTTAGGTTTAGTTTTTATTGTTACAGTAAATACATTCAGAACTACTGGGTGACAGTTCTCATTCACAGTTGCCACCATTAGTCATGATGACTTGTGACATCCTACTGTCTTCTGTTGCTATTTAGCTTTTTATCTTCAGTGTCTTTCAGAGACAGGAATACTGCCCTTCTGCGTGTCTAGTCTTAGGCAACATCATGGCCATTAGGCATCTTTGATTATAAGAAACAAGACTGACTTTTACAATGTTTGAGACAACTAATCTCTTCAGAGGGGTTCTTCACTCTTCTCGATCCCTGGAATACAGGCATCGGTGATGGCCAATACTCTAGGATTGGTGGTTCCCAACCTTTCTAACACTGTGACCCTTCAGTACAGTTCTATGTGTTGTGGTGACCCCTAACCCTGAAATTCTTTTCTTTTTTTTTTGTTCTGTTTGTTTTTTTTTTTTTGAGACAGGGTTTCTCTGTGTAGCCCTGGCTGTCCTGGAACTCACTCTGTAGACCAGGCTGGCCTCAAACTCAGAAACCTGCCTGCCTCTGCCTCCCAAGTGCTGGGACTAAGGGTGTGTGCCACCACTGCCCGGCAAAATTATTTTCATTGCTACTTCATAGCCGTAATTTTGCTACTGTTATGAATCATAATGTAAATATATAATATACAGGATACCTGATATGTGACTCCCCTCAAAAGGGTTGTGACCCACAGGCTGAGAAACACTGCTCTATAATATAAGTCAAACTTTTTCAGAACACCCAAATGCTGTCTGTCACCTTTCTCTGTGCCTCTGGAATTCCAGTCTCTGGGCAAATGACTTGTACTCTATGGTCATGAGAGATGATTTTTTGACTGAGATTCTAACTCACAGACTAGCCAAGAGAGAAAGCTGCTAATGTATCATGGGATAAACAGCGGGGCTATTTATAACTGTCAGGCCTAAACCTTCTCCATCTGTTACCTTGACTGCCTTCTGTTAAAACAAAAGAAAAGAAAACAAACAAACAAACAAAAGCAAACACATGTCGTAACAAGCAGTGGGCCCCTGTTTCTTTGGGGATTATTTATTATTTAAAGGAGTTGGTCCTGTCTGTAGAAAGCCACTTCCTGTGGCAGAATGCATAATACCCCTTTGTTCCTGGGGGCTTGTTGAAATCTTAGGATCAGGTTATAAATATTTCTTTTGCACAGGATTTTCTAAGCAGGTATTTTTTTTATTCATTTCAGCAAAAAGGCATCAAGAAGAAGAAATGCAGGGGAGTGGTAAACTGCAAGGGCAGGCTCTGTACTGGAAGAGTGTGATCTTAAAGCACCTGGCATGGTGCTGGGAACTGAGCCCGGGTTCTCTGTAAGAGAAGCCAGTGCTCTTAACCTGAGAGCCATCTCTCCAGGCCCTCCACAGGAATTTCAGAACCGG